TGACGCTTAAAAGGATTTTTGCAGATCCTGAAGATCAGTGGAGAGGACTCGGCAATGTTTGTCTCCTCGCATGAGTAAATGGAGAATCACTGATCTGGGATTCCCAATCTAAGAAGCTGACCAAATTTTCTTAATACCATGTTTTTCTGTGGCACACATTACTCACATGCAGAGGTTTACAGTGTTCTTGCTGCAGAATGACTGAACAAAATTGGTACACAGACAAAGGATTCATATACATCACCACAGAGAGCACAGTTCGCCTCCCTCTAACGTACCCATTACCAGTCTCTTCCATCTCTGCCCCCTTCGTCTTCTCCTCTGCTCTCTGTTGATGGGGAGCCCCACTGCTTTCCTCTGGAAGTCTTTTGATGTCCCAGTTGCGTCTGTTCAGGCTTTCTTGGACCTGATGCCATGCCACCTCCTGCTGGTTGAGCTTCTCTTCCATCCTCCTAGTCATCACATCACACACACACACACACACACACACATATACACAGATTGTACAGAACTTATGAGATATGCCATAAAAATGATAGAGCTCCTTTCATACACACCCTTTATCACATCCTTCCGTACTTTCAAACAATTCCAATTCATTTTGTGGCTGTTTTAAGAAACTTCATGATATTCTAAAGAGACACCTGGAATGATGAGTAGAAAGAACAGCTTAAAGTAAAGTGACACAAAAATCCTTCAGAGCTAGATAAGTTTCTAAGTAAGATCTTTGTAACGGCACTAAAACTTGTGGTAGGAGGCGTCATGGGAGCTCCTAGAGTGATGGATGTTAAGCAGTGTAAAAACACTATTTCAGGAGACATAAGCTCCTAATAACAGCCTTTTGGTGGTCGGAGGAGGTAAATAGTATAGTTACCACTTGGCCTTCTGGCCAGAGATGGGACGCCGGATGAGGCACTTTCAGAGCTGAGGGTGGCAATTAAAAGCAGCACGGATCAAACACCAGCTGACCTGCTCCGGAGTTTCAGACTTGCTGAGTTTGAAAGAGCTGCATTTCAACATACTGTCTATAGAATGACTCAAACACAGTGGGCTACCTTTTAGTTAAAAGGTAAAAAACTAGGTCTTGTGGAAAGTCATGAATTAATACGCAATACAAAAGCATGGGACTCAGCCATAGCAGACAAACAGTCATTTCTTGCTCGGAGTATCCACCTTGGAAGTTTCCAAACTAAAAGCTCAGTGATTGATGCTAATTATTTAATATTTTCCTATATGTCTTTACCATAAACCAATCAAATTCATGGGAGAATTGGCCATTGAAATTCTGCATGGTACATCATAACTGAGGAAAACATCCACCCCATGTTTAAAAGCTCTTTCAAATTAGGAAAGAAAAATGGCTGTTTAAATATGAACTTTAATGTTATTACATTACATTGTATCAATGTTATGTTCAGAGGCAAGGCCAGGTGAGAAAATCTGCATTCAGTTGAAACAAATGCACTTGAACATCACATCCACACAAATTGAATCAAAGATCTGGATAAATACAAAAATTGTTAAGGGATCCCATGCCCTAAGAGCAGGTCAGCCTTTTGATAATGCAGTTAGCCTCTTCCTGTCAGAACTCTCAAGTGAGAAATGTTTTGATCCGACTGATGTAGCTGATAATGGGCAGGTTGCTTTTGTTGCTATGGAGCATCCCCTCAAGCAACTGAAGGTCAGCTCATTGATATCTTGTGTCGCTCCCAGAGCTGAGCAGATATCCACAGCCACTGTTAGAATTCAAATTATTTGCTTGTATTTACTACTGAGAGTTATTTTTAAGATGATTGAGTAAATTTTAAGATTAATCTGTCCTTGCTGTGAGGGAGTACTTGCTATGTGAACAACAAGCTGAACAAGGATGGAATACATATCTAAGCAACAGATGCAACCCCCCCCCCCACTGCCTTGAGTTCCTCAACAGATGCTGGTGCGAGGTAAGAAGAGGTCAAAAAACAAACCAAAAAAAAAACAAGTATCAGCTGAATGCACATTTAGTATTTTATGATTCATGTTCAGTAAAAATTTAGACCCTCAGAGGAATCAAATAAAGTGTATTTTGCAACGTACTGTGCTGCCGTATTTGACTGTGTATTATGCAGACAGGTGACAAATTAAAAGAGGAAAAACCTGAATAAAGGAGGAGAAACATAACAAAAGCAGGTGCTTCCACACAGAGGCACTGCATGGTATAAGTAAGCAATTAACATCCAATCATGCTCTGTGGCAGGTATAAAAAATGCTGAGCAGGCCCAGTGGATTCTGATCTTGTATCAAGGTGGCCTGTTCATACCTGGCATTAACATGCATTTTGGGTAATCTGATCACAAGTGGACAGCTTGTACAGGTGTGAATGTACTACAGATGCACTTAGGACACAAAGGCCTGATGGCTCAGACCTCAGTTGGAGGTGGTCTGGGTCGAATATGGTCTGGGTCGAATATGGCCACATTCTTGCGTGTGTACACAAATGTGTCGCGGGCCACACTGAAGGACCGCCTACTGACATCTGCCATAGTCTAATTAATCCTGCTACAGTTTCATTATGAATCAAAAATATTTTCTACTTCACTGTTTCCTATGCATTGATTTATTTGTGGCCACTTGCCACACAGACCACCACATGATGATTTTCTCTTTTTTTTTTTTTTTTTTACTATACGTTCTCTCTCACTCAAACACATTGATAACAGATCAATCCGTCATAGTTGAACTTGCTAAAAACAACAATGCATTTGGTCTTTGCAAACACAAATGACATACTGCGGGGTCCAAAAGTCCGTGACCACTTTCCCACTTGGGAATACGTGTTTATCTGCATATAGAGCGGGAAGTGAGATCCGATCACAAGCGGTCACTTGAGACACATGCTAATGCCAGGTGTGAACTGACATGCTTAGAGTTGATCAGATCACCCAACAGGCATACTGACTGACCTGGGCCAAAGACTGCTCTACTGGCTACTGTTTCAATAGAAACTGTTAATAAAGTGACATTTAGATCTGCGAGAAACACGTCAGAAAATGGGGCCAAAAGTGTGGTCGACAGCGCACATTTGATGAGCGTGATGCTCGTGCATTATTGTGATAGGTAAGGAAAAATAGAAGAGCAGCCCCTCCTCAGGTGGCTGAGAATGTCAATGCAGGACGTGATCAAGCTGCATCAGCAAGAACAGTATGTCGACGATTACATAAAGAGGGATATTATAGTAAGGCTGCAGTGCATAAACCCCTCATTACAAACATGAATGCACGTTTGAGGCTACAGTGGTGCAAAACCCATAGGCACTGTTCTACAGAGATGTGGAAAAAAGTGATACGGTCAGATGATTTGTCATCCACCATATTTTCCACAAGTGGGTGGCTGCATGTGTGGCGAATACCAAGAGAACAGTACAGGCCTGAATGCTTCACCACTACAGTGGAGAGGATCCGGTGGCTCTGTTAGGCTCTCATGGTTTGGGTCCACTTGTCCCCTTAGAACAACTTTGTATCGATTTGCAGTGACCCTTCCCTCCGAGTGATCAACTTTATCCTGTGAAGAAACATTTATATACTGATGGGAGAGGTCTGGTCAAGGAGCAGTGAAACCTTTCTGGCAGCACATGGTGGCCCGGCACCTCACTAAAGACACTGTATGTTGGTCCTTCAATTTGTCACCCGTCAGTTTTCTGTACTGTGAAGGAACTGTTGACAGTCCTGCTGCTGATCTGTCATTAACGCCTACAGAAGCTCAGTCTCTGTCCACCTCTTCTTCATCTTCCAGCTACTCTGTAAGATCACTTTCAGCTGTTAGCTGTGTAGTTGACTAATAGTAGCAATCCTCTACTTACCCAAACACCTGTATTCACCCTTTTATATCTAAACAGCACCGGGGTTGCAGGTGTCAGACTGAAAGCAGTATGAACCATCTGAGCCAAAGCACTGCTTTTTGGCAATACAGCACTGTGAGGGAAATTACATGTCAGTCAGTTCCTCATGCTATAAAACATCAGGATTTTCATATCATGAGTGAACACGGGTTTGTCTCAAATTGCTCATGACTACTTCAGTGGGTGGTGAATCACTAGAACGTGAATTGGATTTTGGATACTAATTCAAAGAACACTGGGACACTGACAGATCAACGACCTGTCACACGGTTCCAAGGCAGTGGCAGGGTATAAAGATGTGACATTAGCATAATGTCCCTCAGAGTCTGGTAGGCTATAGTGCAGTGTCTTTTAAATTATACCGATGGCCCATTTTTATAGAAAAATTAGATAATCCAGGTGAAAACTGGTGCAGCCTGTTTTGTTTTCAGTCCATTCATCATCAGTTGTACAGTGGTTCAAACTGACCTAAAACCTAAACCAACTTACATAAATTAAATTTAGCCATTATATTAATCAGTTGCAGCAGTGTCTACATGCTGTGACTGAAGGTCTTTCTCAGCGCAAAACTTTGAATTTGCATCCTTGAGGGTTTGAACTTCAACATTTTTGTATACACCTGCTGTGTGACAAAATAACCTCAATTCAAAGTTCACTTTTACAGAGCTTTCAACTGTGAGATGCACTCAACAGGCACAGTTGTAATCCTCATTATAATGCACATTTACTATAAAACAATTTAATATACACTACACTGCCTCTCTTCAAATCAGTGCATTGTGGGAATTTTCTGGGGAGCAGAACTTCAGGTGCACTGCAGTGATTTTGGAAATGGAACACGGGGCAGTTCACTACCTGCTGAACCAGGGGCCGATTTGGGACATGCCCTCAGCTGTAGGAGAAATGCCTGCTGTTGATTTCCACTGGCTCAGCATGAAGCACTTCAGAATGGCTTTTTGCATGTTCCCACCTCTCCTCCCAGAAATGCTGCCATGATTTATGGCTTTGATTTGGTCTACGCGTCCAATGAATGCTGCTCAATAAGCAGGCATATTGTGGAGATTGAGGTGGAGTAGGTTCAGTCGTGCTTGGGTCACAGAGTGCATACGTGTCTGCGTAAGTCTCACCCTGGATTCTGCAGCATCACCTCGGACAGATTCTCTGCAGATTTGGACATGTCAGTCAAGGACAAGCTGAAGGCAGACGACAGCCTGCTCTGCAGACAACAGAATGAGACAGCACTGTGAAATGAAAATCTGTGCAACAGTGTAGGAAATGAGTGACAGCTGCCTATGGAACATTTGCAATTATACAATGGTTTAATTATAGTTTATACTGTATGTCATAAGTATTCGTGACACTGTTTTGTGAAAGACATTAACATTTTAAGAATTAGTCAAAATCTCATATCTGGAATAATCAGATTACATTACAAGTGATTATTATTTCAAAAATAGGGATAAGCAGCATAAAACTATTATACATTCCTAAAATGAAAAGGTCATATAGACATAGGCTGGCAAGAGAGCAGCTGTGATGTACAACATGGTCCATTTTTGTGGTTCCATATAGTTTTTACAGTTTATCTTTAGCACTGTTCTTTCCACATTTTCACTCGGTAACTAAGAGAGAATTGTAATACAATGTGCTTCTGTTGAAATAGACCATTTTAAAATCCACTTTTTACAAAACAGTTACACACTGTACTCTGGGTGTGCTAGCTCATATTCAGACTGAGCGAATTTGGAACTCCTGAGACCATCTCATTTGGAATCTATGTTAAAAATGAATGGCAAAGACTCTTCCTAGAGCCACAGCAGGGCTTGAATGTCTGTACTTTTCTTGGCTGTAATAATGTGCAATTTTCAATAATGCAAAGAGCAGAAAGCTGTCAAAAACCAGAAGTACAGCTATGTTTATACAATGGTGTGTGAATCCATTTTACTACATAAAATGTTATGACGCACAGAAATAAATGCTTAAACGGGACTTAATTTAAGTTGCAGGCTTTACAGTCTTTTTCTTTCATATGCTACAATAAATATGTATAACAATTTAGTTTCCTGAAAATGTATCCAAGACCAGAACTTAATTTTAAAAGAGAGAGCATTATAGCAGTAGTCTGTCGTTATCAATGCTTGTTCTGAGAAGGAAGTTAACTCAGCATAGTCACTTCATTAATAGAGTTTTTAAAACATTATATTTGATCTGAAAATGTGTTTATGAATTTCTTCAACGGCAACTTTCACTCTACCATATAACTGACTAGTGACGCACCCTGAACAGTATTTGTATGCACAGTGTTTAACATCTCAGGAACAGAAGCCTGTAGCTCTCACACAGAGTTCAGAGTCTACTCTCTCACATACCATTCTGGCTTGCTATATGCATATTTACAGCTGTCTCAGATTTTGCATTTTTTATTATCAACCATACCGTACTTTGTACTCTTGTAGGAAATTAGGAAACTGTTGCTAGGAAATTCACAAACCAGCAGTTATAGCTAACAGATATATATGCAACACACATTCAGCTTCATTCAGCTTACATTGCAACTTCAGCTTAAACATTTTTGACATGATCTATGTCAAAAAAATCAAATATCTGTGATTTGATATTTTAAAACAATAAAACATGTCCAAGGGGGTGAATACTTTTTATAGCCTCAGACAGTTCATTGTTGAGGGAGCCTCTATATGAATTTACTGACTAATAAATGCATATCTCTGTAGATATGGGTGGATACGACAGGAAAAGGAAATATATGTAAAAAGTGCAGTAAACTTGCCATTTTTTACTTCATATATTTGACATTTTCAGGCAATATTTACTCATTTTAAAATGACTTAATTCTTCCCAGCACATAGAGACTTCAGGGTTTTTTTCCTAACACCCACTCGGGCTTACATAACTCAAACTTTAAGAGTACTTAAACCTGAACATTATTGGAGAGAGAAACAGGCTGTGGTGTCTTTAAGAGAAAGGGTGCGCTCACACAATGCCTCTTTAAAAACACATGCAAGTTAATGAAAGCCAAGAGGGATCTGTTACAAGATGGACGAAAAGCAGACAGTTTTGAAAGCTGCACCTGGCCTCCTCTCAGAGACGGCAGAGAGCTTTTCCAAGGTTGAAAACAGTCTCCTTGTGAGGAGATTGTTCCCGATGTGCTAGTGTGCCGCTTTTTTGTGAGCCAGTTAATCAGAGTTTCATGCTCAACAGGCAAAAACGAGCAGTAGCAGCTGAGAGGCGGGCAGAAGTTCTTATTCTCATCAGAATGAATCTGCATGGATCACACTGTTGCGGTTTGTGGAGTTTTTTTGATGTGGAGTGAAATTTGAATGAGAGTTCAACATGAGCAATGTTTGCTGAAGGAAGCAGGTATTACAGCTGGTGGTTATGGAAAAAAATGTGTGATGCTGCTGTTTTTACAAAATTACCAGCTGAAAATGCAGTCGAGGCAGTGTGTTCTCTGAAAGACGCTCCCTCAGCTTCACAAAAACAGCACAACAGTGTAAGAACACAATAAGGCTCGTCTGTAGTGGTGGTACCGTCTGTACCTGGCGTTTCACTCTGAGCTGGGCAGCTTCAGTTGGGTGGTTAAACCTCAGTATGGCTCCTCTTCCAAGCTGTATGGTGGCACCTAGAGCAAACCGAAGAGGTAAACCATGAAAAAAAAAAGATGCAAACCACTAACTTACTTACCAGCTTCAACTTTGCCATTTGGTATAAATGCTACAGCAACCACTGAATTATGCATTACACTGTGAGAAAGACTGGCAGAGGCTAAATGTGATGTGTTTTTGAAGTGACAGTAATGGTGCTGAAAGTCTGCCAGGAAGGCTTTGTGGGTGTGGCACAGTATCTATAATGTATGAAAAGGTGAAGAGCAAAATAGTCTGACCATGGGAATCTTCCCCTCATCGTGGGATTGCAGTGAACTTGGGGAAACTTGACAAATAGCACAAAAGTTCTCCAACATTCCTCTACTGAAGTAAAGTGAATGGATTGCCATGAGGAACACAACCCTCAATGTGATTGGCAGTGACCTGGGCCAGAAGGATGATTTACCAGAGAAAATGGTCCAAGGAAACTTCTGAAGTCTTGTAAGGCTATAGAACTGAAGTGATATTGGAGTTTATATCACACTCGTGCTCATATTGCCATATCCACAGATTTTCTCGAGGTTTCTCTCCATTCTCCACCTCCTCTCTCAGCACAGCAAATACTAATCTTGCTGCTACTAATGACTTCTGACGAGTGACAAAGCACCTGAGAGGGCAGTCTGTGATGGATTCCAGCTGCTTTTGGACTGAAAATTACTATCATTTGTTCAAGAAAATAGCTTCAGATGCAGCCGTTTCTGAAGGGGATATTGGATAAATTGAAATGGTTAGAAAAGAGACTAGCGTGGCCCAGCCCTGCGCTGCCTGGCTCTGTGTGCAGTTTTTATCTCTGGAAAAGCAAAGCAGCGTGGATGAGGAGGCAGTAAGCAGTGAAAGCTCCCAGCCCCGGCAAGCAGGGTCGACTCAGGGGGGCAGGAGTTTCAGCTCGGCTTGGCTCTGTCCTTTGAAAGGTTAATGATCTGGCCCACTTCAAACCTGTCGGCCCTATCAACTCCATCTGCCAATTAAATGGAGGGCCTGGGGCTTTGTCTGGAGCTTTGTCCAGAGCCTCTCGCCCTTCAAAATGTTTAGTAAGAGAAATGGCATCTGCCCTGTGGAGAGCCGTGTTCACAATCCACTCATGTCCTGAGTGCGCTGCCATTGGGGAACCAGGGACATAAAGTGGATTTCATTTGCAGATGTGATGCAGTGATCTCATATAACGGCATTCAAAACGGATGGAAGTGTTATTGCCTCCCACTAGCAAAATAATTGTGAATCTGAGAGACAAATCCTCATCCTTCTTCATTATTACAGATTTTACTTGCTCTCTCCCGCCCGTTCATTAAGGAACCTCACAAGCATATTCTCTTTGCACAAATTCTTACCCTGATTCAGCTGGCAAGGACCGGTGACCACAGAGCCATTGACTGAACACAGTGCACCATCCTGAGGGATCAGAGTCACGGTCCCAGCATGGTTCTCGAGCACACAATGTTCGCCGAGGAGACCAGGCCCATGATGCACTACAATGCAATTAAATATGAAGGCACACAAAGAAATATTGCTTATTTTCAGTTTGGTTGAAAACACAGCAGCTGGGAATACACTGTAGTAACCTTGACTCACCAATATCCTGGCTGTATGATACTTTCTCACTCCCAATCAGGGTTCTCCCCTCCTACAGAGGAGATTCAAAGGTCATAATACAATATGCAAGGTGTTGTTTGACAATCAGGGTAATTAACAGAAGCAGTGGACCTAGGCTGGTAATGATTTCTGGGAAAAAAAAAAAAAAAAAAAAAATCGACTAATGTGTGAAATATATCGAGTTCAAATGCTGTATTTACTTTCAAATAATAGAGGACGATGCCAGTGCTGAGTAGATCTTTCTCAATGCCAATCAGATGGGGTAACTGGCAGTCCAGGACCACGCCACTCCCCTCCTTCCTCAGAGCCACAGTCTCCTCCTATAGGACACAAGAGAATATACAGGGAAGGGGTAAAATAAAATAAAAAAATCTCTCAATAGCCTGTAGCTGGAATGGCACACAATAAAAAATAAAAATGCTGACAGACATTTAATGGCAACCAGCAGAAAACTGAATTCTTTATGACTGCTCTTCCTTGCCTGAAGGCCACGCAGAATAGCGGCGTTCCAACCATGTGTCACCATGAAGCAGTAGAGTGGCTAACGGCAAGAGAGACACCATAAATCATTCAGATTATCGTGGTGAGAGTCAAACTGTACATTGTGTTCAGCGAGCGAAACAGACGCAGTGCCACCACCCACACACAGGTGGGTTGTATACCATGCACCATTGCCTTTATTGATACATAGCTATCAACACTGTATGTTGCTATTAAAATACTCCCGAGCTTGTCAAGTATGCCAACTTCAACAGCAACAAACTTCAGCTAGTTCGATGTCATCTAGAATGTGTCTGGAAGAAGTATTGCGTTGAAGGTCAAACTACAGTGAATTCCTGGCCACTTATACACACACATTAAGTGGAAAGCATGCTACAGCTTAAACGTAAAGGAACAGGGCATTTTGTTTCCCATAAATAGTGAGGAAAGTCAATAAGTGTGGTGAAATGAATCATTAAAAGACCATTTCATAGGTTTTCAGTTTTTTTGTTTACATAAATGCCAAATCTTAGCACACAAACTGTCTATTTCACACTTAGGCTATTGATTAATACTGCACTGTAGTGGCACATTACAGTTAGATCACTCAAAAGTAAAAAAAACGAAAAAAAAAAAAAAACAAACTTTGTGCTTGTCCAGAAATCTCTGCTAAATATGTATTTAATGGTGTCACAGCACCTCTCCACAGAAAAGCGATAAGAGGTAGAGAAATTGATTTAATCCCTGAAAGCCATTTCTAAAGCACAGGTCGGCTACACTTAAACCTCTGATCTGCTCCATATACCGCTTCACTGCCTCCAACAATTGTTGCTGAGGAAATTTAAAGCAAGAGTCACACCGCCTTACATCATGTGTGTCTGTCAAGGGCCAATGTTCATTTAACTTTGTATAAAATGTCATTTTAGTTTTATTTCATTTCTAACTTAACCAAAAAGGGAAAGATTAAGCTTTTAAAAAAAAAAGAAAAAAAAGAAAAAAGGCCAGACAAGCTGCAGACAGAATGAGTTTGTTGAGCATTTGCCAATTATTCAGCAAGAAATTAAACACTTAGCCTTGGATGACCTGCGAGGTTCAAAAGACATACTGAATTAAAGCCATACGGGGAAACTTAACTCTGTGTTTAAGGCCAGTAACCTTTTCCTCCCAGGGCAATGGCTGTGGTTCAATAACCCAGAGCCTACCCAAGTATGAGTGGTCCTATCAGAAGTATTCTTCCTGTTAAGCTGGTGGACTAATGCCTCACATTGCCATGGATTATCTTAAGTACCTCCCCAAGAGGCAGAGCAGAAAATCTCACATATGGAGGATTCAGAACCAACACGCTGCATAAACTAGTTCCCCTCTCTTTCAACCTCCTCCTGCCCTCTTTCGTATAGATTGGGACTGTGAAGTGAGAGATGTGTCCACCACCAGCACCACCTCACTCATTGTGAGATAGGAGAAATCCTTTTTCTAATGAAGAAGGAGAGGTATCGACCCCAGCCCCTGTACTTAATTAAAAGGGATTTTTCACAGACTTCATTAGAGGTGAGGAGCAGCCTGGCAGATTAATGCACTGTGTCACTTTCCTCAGACACCAGGAACAGATGAGATCCTCTTATTTTCTCCCCACATTCACACACATCCCAGAGAAAGTTGCTCTTCACCACACCCCGTCAGTCAGGGAGTGTGTGTGTGAGTGTGTGTGTGTGTGTGTGTCAGTCATGAGGACAAAAAGAAGTTTGCTTTCAGATTGAGGCAGCTGGTGAACATACTGTAATTAACTGTGGCCTAGACCAGCAGCCAGGCTCGGGCAGCATTTAGGCTTCCATTAAAAGCCATCATCTGTGGTTGGCCAGAATTTTTAATGGATTTTTCTCAGTGCTTTGACAGTTCAGGTTCCCGACTTGGTTTCAAAATACTGCATTACTAGGCCAATCAATGACTCTTTCCCGACTGCCAATCAGCCTTGTCAAGTCGAGCAACCTGCCAACCGAATGGATACGCAGGCACTGAATCCAGAACAAGAGAAAAACTTCTGCATATGAATCGCTCCATTACAATAAAAGGTTCATTTCCTTGAAAGCTGTATTTATATCACAGATTACTGCTCTTTATAAAAGGTTGAAAGAATAATGCATAAAAGACAAAAGGCAATTACATGGCCAGTTTTCAAAATGGTATGATGCCTTTTGTTTGAAGTGATTCGTCATATTCCAGTGAAGAAAAGAACTGGCATCTTATTAACAGTCGTTTCTGGTTTTTACCCTCCACTTTGTTACTTGTGCGTGAGCTACATGTAAAAACAGGTTCTCAACCAGAAAGTTGTTCTTCTGGTTGTAATATGAACATGTTGTGTAATTAGCTTCATATGCACTCCAGCAAATCAGCAACAGGATGCAACTTGTGGTTGAAAGCTAGAGAGGGATCCAACCTGATGAAAGCACTTGAGGAGCTCTTCTCCTGCTACGTGTCCCATTGCAACTTGCGTCAATTAATGGTTGTCATTTTGCACAGGTTCAATATGTATGGTGCAATTTCACATATTCGTATTATTTGTGTGTCATTTATTTAAAGAATGTGAAAATCAACTGGACCAAACACTCTTACTGGCACCATTATTTTTAGGGCCCAAGCAAGAAGATTTTAGTCCTAGATGTGCACAAATGATACCTATAACACATGTGCTCACCATGTGTTTCAAACACCTTAGAATCATTTTTCATTTTTGTGAATTAAATTGAGAAAAGAAAGTTCAAGTTTTGGAGCCAAAACTTAGATTCTGGCATGTGAAGAATCAAAGGCAAGAATATGTCAAATTAAATGGTATAATGACTATGATGTATAACTGCTGACAGTATGAGGTAAATTGACATTAAACAGAACAAGGCTCAGAGCATTCAGAGCTTAAATTGTGCCTTTGTGCTGATTGTAGCATGTTTGGGGAAATACAAAGACTACCAGGATCAAAGAAACACTGTGGTTCATTTTAACTTAGTCAAATGGAGGTTCCTCCCACCACGCTGTGTTACATGGGGACCTGAGAGGGTGGCTGGGGGAGCAGAATGCAACTCGTGAAATAAAACTACTCACAAATCTGTGTGTGTGTGTGACATTAACTATGTATATTATTTCGTTTTTATCATATTATATATAAAAATACACACACATGCATATACACACACACCCCTGCAGTAGAACAACATTTCACTTTACCCTCTTCCTGCCTTTTTTGTTCTCTCAATCTGTTGCCGTCTCTGTCTGGTAAGAGGCTGCTCTGGAATCCATCTTATATTAATTACTTTCTCTTCCCCACATGCCCTGTAACCAATCTGGGAAGCTGACGATGAATAACTTTGCATTCTAAATCTGCTTTGAATACAGAATTCAAAATTCTGTTTACACCGCTCTTGGTCAGCTCGTCTCCATACTTCTCTCCTTACAGCCCGAGCAGAAATTTTCATCTAGCTCTGAGCAACAGAATCCACTGAATTAAACACAAAATATATGAGACTTGAAGCGTTAGAGAAGACTGCTCTCGATTTAAAAAAAAAGGAAAAAAAAGCAAGTGCTAGAGACGGAGAACACGCAGTGAGTGTAACAAACACTTAAGGTGGAGGTTAGATTTTATCAGCACCATTCCTTTTAAACAAAACATGTTGCAGGCCATTTGTTTTAAAAAAAAAAAAAAAAAAAAACTACTTTAAATAAATGTCTCCAATTGATCAGGCTTTTGTATGTCAAGTACATGTGCAGAATGTGTTGTGCTTCTCTGTACTGAACTGAGTAAAGACACCACCTCTAATGTCTGTGCACCATTCCATGCAGGAATCCCACTTATCATTTTTCACCCGGGCAGAATGCAAATGCACAGGAAGACAAATGTCAAATCCATAAAGTCATTCATCAAACACTTCAGTTCCGGCAACACCAGTGTGCCTGCTGGTCACCAGTACGGTGGCCTTTTAGCCTAGGTGTCAAATTGAATCATGCATCATAACAGGTGCATTTACATGGATGGGCACAGGTCTAAATAAGGCATATTTGTCAGCTCTGCCAGCGGAGATGGACGATGTTGCTGCTGAGCATAAAGTCATCACCGCCTGGACACGCAAACAGATTTACAATACAGTAACTCTAATTAATATGCTGGACAGTCAGAAACGAAAGTGCCATATGTCAATAATCAAGACCTCTTAATTAGGAGCAGTGACAGCTGGTAATGAGTTCCAATACACTGTCATGAATAAAGGGCCATCAAGCCAGTAAATGTCACCTGCTAACCACCATACAGAGCAGAATGTTAATTACCCAACAAGCACATATAACCAACTTTCATGTATAGCGTATTTAAAATTCCTACACAATGTCTTAAACTTATAGCTTCACAAAACCAATCTGACATCTAACGCTGGTAATCTGGTACAAGGTCAAAACACAAATCTATTAAGAGACATCTTTCAAAGGCCACATCAACACAACAGTTTAAAACTGATGTAGGAAATGTACTGCTAGCATGTATAATGGAGACAAAAAGTCAACTCCATGCTCTTCATGACTGGCACGCTTCACAGTTCAATGCATAATGCAACAGGCTACTTGGCTGAACACGATGAGTCCCAAACAGATGACATTTGGTGTTATTTGGGAGGTTGGGCACAAATTCAACAGAGAAAAAGTGTTCGGTGTAAACTCGGTGCTGGCAAACTCTGGCATTTTTCTGTTGCAGCTTGGGGTCTTGTAAGGATGCTGCCACCCTGTCCCAGCCTCAGAGAAACCATATTGGGTTGGAGGAGGAGGCATATCTGTTCTGTCTCTCTTTGTCACACTCCCCAAATACTGTAACACAATAACTTCACAGTCCTTACAAGAACACTGCTTTTGGATGCTATTTAAATCTGAATAGATGGAAAATTAAAAATTAAATGCCAGGTCGACTCTACTACTCATTACCATTTCCAGTCCATGAAGCGGCTGTGGCTGTTCACAAGACTTGCAGTGACACCAGCTGGTAGGATGTCTATACTGCAAGCAGCAACATATGCCAAAACTGCTGCTGGGAGCTTGCCGTTTTGTTGATTGTTAGTGTTAAAATTAATGAAGCCTCCACAGTCCGTGTACTCAGTGGCCTTCTATTTTACTTGTCCTTCTGTACCGAGCTTCAAGTTGCATATTTTTGCATCATTATTCAAATACAACTGTGGATGTTGGACTTGAAAATGAAACACAAATTCCTTACTAAATTGATACTTGTGGCACAGAAAACAAGGTAGGCAACACAAACATAAGGGGAAAAAAAGCACCTCACAAACTATTGTCTTGTCTAGAAACAACAAAGCTCCAAAGACTGTAACTATAACTAACTAAAGCCACCACACACTATTATGAAATGTTTATCCAACCCTGAACATGAGAGTTAAACCACAGGGTTATACTATGAATCTTTATAATACTATCTGATTAAATTAAAGAACTACAACAAGCTGGATCAGTGGAACCGGGCAGTTCAAACACTTGTCTCCAGTTACAGTCTTGTTATCCTCTCGCTCATGTCCAAGAATCAAACATACAGTACCAGGCCTCTGTGAGCCAAACCAATCAATGTTAAATTGGCTCCAGGATATTTACACAAAAGCTCACTTGGGCTTTTCATCAATTTATTGTAAGAATAGTTGGTTTTTACAAACTGGCAGATCAAACTCCTATTGCTCCTGGCTAAAAGTATTGTGGAGGTTGCTAGATGACACCACAGGCTGGAGCACATGTAAGGCAGAGAGACAAACAGAAAGCAAGAAAGACATCACAATTATTCAGACAAGTGTGATTGCTCTTTCAATGTACAGTGGTGTATTTTTTTGTGTAAGGCAGTGTCCGATTGTACTAAGTTTAAAAAGAGTTATAAAGATTTGTTGTACCTGCAGAATACTCTGAGTCTCACCCCATTTGCTGGTCCACTTCTTGGTCAGTGCGAGAACCTGAGGGGAATCGCAGAAATAACAGGTGTATTATTTACAAAGAAGAACATCAAAACACCTGTTCTGTTTGACAGAGGATGACTCACCTTTTCCTCATTGTGATGCAACTCCTCCTCTACTTTCACAGAGGAAGGCAGCTCCCCACGGGAGACCTGGAGTAGTATTGAAAAGACAGCCCAACCTACGATATAACCTTTGGATAAAAGACTGTCAACATATATATTGTAGCATCCTTGATGGCCTTTTATGTGAGCTTGAACGTATGCAGGACCTGACTGGTTTCTTCTAGTAGCCTTCGGAGCCTGGTAACCTCTGCCTGCAGCTCTCTGACAACCTTCACATTGCCATCTTCATTCACGGTGGGAGAGTTCACTATGTTCTTAGCTCGGCTGGCATAGCGCAAAGTGCTCAGGGTCTCCCCGTAATTCACATCAGCAGGAGAAACAGCTGCCATGCAAGATTGTCAGGAAGAAATATACCCAGGTTCACGACAAGTGGTGCAATATTATATGAAAAACAATGAAGGGTTATGTGGTTAACATTATCTTCATTTTTAAAAAAACATTTTCAAGAAGGCAGGAATAAAGAGGCAACAAACGTTCTCTGGAAACAGCCTGAACTGTCTTTACAGCACATACTCGCTATCATTGTAGTCATAGAGTTTCCACCCAGGCTGTCTTTTAGTAGCCATGTCAGCACAGAGTCTCTGTAAGGAATGAAGATCTGCTTCTTCTTATTTGTTGACTGTCCTCCTACACCAAGGTCAGCTGGGAGGTCACACGGAAAGAAAAGTTAATTCTTGCTTTGTTAGTTATTTCTATTTTTTCCCCCACACACACACAGGAAATTTGACCTCTGCATTTAACCCATCTGTGAGCAGTGAACACACACAGACAGGAGCAGTGGGCAGCCACAGTGCAGCACCCAGGCAGGGAGCAGATTGGGGGTGGGGGTGGGGGGGTGCCTAAGGAAGGAGAGTCCGTGTAAGATATGAAATGTTTCATCCTAAAGCTCTGTAGATCCATTTTGACAGAAAAAGGGTCACAAACCAATATTAGTGCTTATCAAATATCATTAGTTTGCACTAAGGCCTTGAGTTTGCTAAGTACCTAAAGAAAAAAATTCAACAGTGAGATTAATTCCAGCCATAATTTTATCTGATTTTTTTTTCCTTCAAATGACCCAAAACCAATTTGGAATAGAACCAAACATCAAATTGCAAAATCTGTAATAAAATAAAAAATAAAAAGTGCTGTAAAACAGACAAACTAGAAAAATAACACCCATACAGTGTCTATTTTTGAAATAGACTCCAAGATGAACAAAATCACCATTCTCACATAGAATACATTCATATTTCCATCTATTATTGAGCTGACTATCACATAACTAGATAAAGATATGGTGTCATTTTCTGTCAGTATCTGTAACTGTCATTTACCCAAAGCTGAGATCACACTGCCCAGGGTGACCAGGGATTTGTTGATGTTGGCACCTTCCTTCAGCCTGGTGCCTGTGGTGCGTGTGGCATCAGCCCTCTCACTGCCTGCCAGGTCTACCAGGTGGATCTTACTCAGCGTCTCACGTGGCAACTCTGCATCAAACCACGCCTGTGGCATTAAAAAAAAAAAAAAAAAAAACATTACTGAGAAATCCTCGTTTAGTTCAAAAGAGGTAACATCACAGAGGAATACTTAGGCAGTATGACGACAAAAAGTGCTACTTAAGATGGAAAAAATGAAAAAGCCTTTGAAGATGAAAAGACATGTTAAAAATTATCACTCCACAAAACGGATACATAGGGCTAATTAAAGCTCTTGAGGAATGGCCTTTACTAAACACCCAAAGAGTTTTCAGGGAGACTTTGAAAGAATATTTACCCCAATTCAAACTGACAACATGAGACATGGCAGCAAGGACAACTTCTGAGCACTGCATTTTACCTGTGTGAAGCTGATGGTTAAGATGGCGTGGGAGCGGCTGCTTAAGTCATTCATGCCCGTGCTGGCTGTGGTGCGGTTGGCATTGCCGAGAATAATCAGGTCCTCCATGTCTCTGTGGTTATATATCAAGTGCTTGGACAGATCTACACATAAGTGGCAGTTTTCCATGTTAGATTTTCATATAGCACAACATTTCATATGAACACATTTCATATTAAAAAAAAAAAAAAGAAAAAAAAAAAAAAAGCTTACTCTCAACATAGGGCCCGTCTCTGGGGTGCTCTCTCACTCTCAAGCATCCACCATCTGTAGCTGTAGTTCTCTTGTTCAGAAGGTCCTGCACACGTTCATTATAGATCTCTAAATAGCTGGCACCAAGACAGAAATACAAATACAGAATCTGATCCAAGATTGCACCAAGGCTACAAAGGCACAAATTAATGAAGGGTTTCAGTGTTGATATGTGAGTGGCACAGCACCAGATGAGAACAAAACAAGTTGCTATTCACTGTGAAAAGAGATGCACAGCAGGTTTACAGCCAAATTCTTGTGCTTGCATTGTTCTGCTTGCAGTGACAATGAATCAACAAACATGTAAAGGTTTTGGCAGAGAACTTCAATTGTACAGTGGTGGGTGTGTGTGCAAAAAGCAAAAGGACTAGTTTGAGTGTCTGATTCAAAGTAATGCAAGGCATGGAGCAATTAGGCTTTACAAGAGCATGACAGTAATGAAATGGCAGGGACCATATCCTGTGGATGTAGCCATGCAGGTTGTTTTCTGGCAACAGAGGTGAGAACTCAAACAGGTTACAATATTAGATGGTTTCTAAATGACTAGAGGCATAATGACCATAATTACACTAACAAAATAGGGAGGATTATTAAGCCAGTTACATATGATATCCAACTATCATAACCTCATTACAGAATACAAAATATATGATGATATTTCACAATGTGGCGATGAAATGGTTTTCAAGAAAGCTACCCACACAACTAGCACAAACTAAAGTCCTTATTCCTGGAAGCAGTGGAAACCATGACCTTAAGACATGACAGAAAAACCTGACAGTAGGCGATGAACCATACTGTTCTACACACACACACACACACACACACAGTAGAACAGTGTGTGTGTGTGTGTATATATATATATATATATATATTATTATATATATATATATAATATACGTAGTATATATATATATATATATATATATATATATATATATTATATATATATATATGCCAGTTGCACTGAACATGGACTCATGGACTCATGAGAACCAGTGGTGAAGGACAACACGGTTTTCTTGTCCTTGAAGATTCCATGGCTGTATCGCTTATCATACACATATATATATATATATATATATATATATATATATATAAAAACACTACACAAACAGTTTAATACCAAGAATTTTACATACACATTCCCTACAAATATTCCTATCAGTTTTATTTTTAATTGGTCAAAATCATTATAAAAGCTATCACCTTAACATCAACTTGGAAGCCCAGGAGGATGTAACTGATGAAATAAAGGAAACCATACTGTATGAAACTATAATCTATGTTGTGTGCATAACGAATTTTAATACATTTTTAATAATTACCATCTTTACCATCCACTAGAACAAAACACTGATTTTTTGTGTTTTTCATGTTGTTTGCAAGTAAAAGGTGTTTCTTGTAACACTGACAATAATACTTTCGTTTCAGTAATGATAAACGCATGTAAAATTTATTTGGAATGGGTCAGTCACATTGCAATTCAAATAATTCCAATAAAAATTTGTCAAAAGCTATCGCTCACTCATTTTCAAGATATTCAACATTTCTATAGCAAAGCCTGGCAGCGCTTGTCAAATAAAAACCCAATTCTAGAGTTGAATTAAACCCAAATAATGTGCCAGCAGCACAGATTATACCAAATGGCTGAATAATGGTTTCACAGTAGCTTGACAGGCTGAAAATCCTCAATTTTATCTCCAAACATAATCATCTAAGAGCAGAGCTGAGACATGAAATAGATATTGATGTGACTAGATACCATTTTGGACTTCAATTATTATTTGATTATAGTAATAAAGCCTTCATTTTTTCTTTTTCTGGTTTTAAAAAGGACTAAATTACAGTTAGGCAAAAACAGAACAACAACAAAACTAACAGTCTGCAGGCCTTTTTTCCTGATTTAAGATGAAAAGAAGTATCACTGTATGTAAGCTGCTTCCTTACCTGACCTCTGTACGGAATGACACAGCATCACTCTTACTTCTTTGAGATATCTCGCAGAACAAGCCTTCACAGATGCGTGGGATTAAACCTTTATCTTCCTAATGCATCAAAAGGAGAAAATGGCGCATTTAGAACTCTTATTACAGAATGATACACATAGTGTACTTTTAAATGACAATTTCATTTTCCGCTCATTATGTTCTCTTAATTTGAGTGTCTATGCTATGCTGTGACCACAATTCAGCACATGCAAAGACTGCTGAACAACACAAACAACAGCTCATCTGATATGGAGTTACTGAAGCATAAAAGCAATTCCACTCTGAGCTGCATGCCCTCTTGTTTTAATTACAAAGTAACAGATAGTAAGCATTAAGAGGCATATATAATTATCAGGGATGTTGACAGAAGCTCTGCTGATGACCTTGCACAAGTCTCCTGGTAGACAAGCAGAAACCTCATTGGTAATGTGAAATTTCCATTGCTGTGCAAGGTGAGGGAAAAAAAGCTTTGGGTTGCTGCCCTCATCACATTTTCTGATTAGTTGGGAGAAACATGGAGATAAATGAAGAGAAGGGGAGGGACCTCTGATGAGGCTGCCATCAGTCAGTTTCTAATGTGGTCTGTAGCTTGTGCTATGCGCACACTGGGTTAGCACTACTGGGGTATTCTGCAATGCAAGCTTGACAATGTTGGGAATATTTTAATATCCTGCATGATAATGCATGATAGAGGGGCGCATTTACAGGGCACGCTTGACATTCAAGTTAGAAGTAATCTAACTATGTTTATAGTACAGCTACCCTAGAGGATAAATTAAAAACTGCACTTTAACCATACAGTGCTGAGAAAGCTGACAAGGCCTTACTTACTGTGTGACCCATCATGGTGTAAGACTTTCCTGAGCCTGTCTGGCCATAGGCAAACATACAGGCATTGAAACCATCAAATGCAGCTTTCAGTACATCAGACCCCAAGTCATGAAAAATCTAAATCAGCAGAGGAAAGGGTTGGTAAAGATATCAGGTATAAAAAAAAAAAAAAAAACACTGTATAAAACACACTGGACTCTGAGGATAAAACGAAAACCGGAAGAAGTTGAATACCCTCTCCTGGGATGCAAATACAGGGCTTCCTCTGTCAGTTGAATCATATGAGAAGTCAAAAGAAAAGGTTTTCCCTCTGTTCTTCAGCTCCTCCCCTCGAACAGGTGAAGGCTGGAATTACAATATTAAAAGAAAAATCTAGCTCTTGATAAAAACTTCATGATCTGCAGTGTAGTGCATTTTTATTTTAGTAATAAAATACCTTATGAATAGATGTAGTGCTGCCGTTCACACGAATTATCACCCTCGAGGATAACTGCTTTTCTCTGTGGGAACGTGAACGTCACCATCAAAATTACGTGTTTCTTTTGAAAACTTGAAAAAAAATAAAAGCAGTCACACTACCAACCTTTTGTTCAGCGGGCGAACTCGGACCGCTACTCTCACTGAAGCCATTGTTAATCAAAATCAGACAGCACACATCTAACAGCCAGTTCTCCTGGCCTGTTTCTCCTTCTTTGAAAAAGAAGTGTGCCTACACATGAAGGCGTTCGCGTGAACATCAATGCAAAGTACTTCACACCTAATTACCACACCTGGGGCCTGTCCTCACTTTCTCAATGCACTAGACAGACTACCCGCTGGGTTGTATTAAGAATTGATAACCTGTACTCCAAACAAAACATCTTATTTTTTTGTTTTGTTTTAATAGCAGTGACTTTCAATGCAGCCTGGTGATATTCTACAAGAATAAACTGCAGGTAGATGTCTTAGATTTTTGTCAATTTAATTACTCGCCAAATATCATATCTTCTTATGGAAATGGAAAGAGACTTGCCCAAACATCAAACATTTTATGACATTTATGTGACTTCAAATCATATTCTGAGTTGCTAATCAATAAACCCATTGTATGCCATTAAAATCCATGTGTTTATGATTTGAATGTCTGTGTCAATATGATGCATTTGCGTCACACAGGAAAAACACACCAGTTAATGGTTAAACTGATTATAGGACGTGTTAGTAGTCAGGCCTATCTGAAAAGTTTTGTTATTTTATTGTATTTCTTATTTCTTCTTACATTAACGAAACACACCTTTAATGCAAGATCCAGTGGTAATTAGTATGTTGAGTTGTTACGAAATAACACTATCAAAGCACTTAATTAAACGTTACAACAAGTGACGTTCAAAATTAAGCAAGCTGTAAATATCGTGGGTCACCTACAAACCCAGCCGTCATGCCCGCAAGAATGAATTAATTTTAATGTATTCATTAGCATACAATAGTCGGACGAGCAGCATTTTCTCAGGGAAGTCCGATTTTCGAATCTTCCTGTGTAACGTGAAAGCTTCATTGAAGTCGATTCGGGTTTCCCATGATGCAATGCGGCAAAGAGCCGGCGGGGACATTCAAAAGTATGGCAGAAGTTTCGGATGTATTTAAAACAACGTCGAACTCAGAAGAAGCTGAAAACGCGTCCAATATTAACAGCGGAGACAATGGGATACAAAGGCGCCTCTCGTTTTCGTCAGAAAAAGATATTAGCACACTGGACACGTGTGACGTCTCAACATTACAAAGTGTTCCTGACAACTCGAGTTCATGTCTACCCTCTGCGGACATCGTCGAGCAGCTCTCACCACAGGCCGTAAACACATGTTTAAAGGTGAAAAATGTAATCGAAATAAAAGATCTCTCCCTTGAATGTCGTCTACATTCTAAACAGCACAATGTAAAGCACACTGAAGACAAGGAAAACTCCACAACGCCCTCTACAACCATCACTCCAGGTAGGAAATGCTAGGACAACCGGTGTGTCCTCATTTATTCGCAAAAGGAAGCATTATAGCAAAGAAGATGAGTATGAAGCATCGACTGTTGCATTGTAAAAACACTGCACGCGGAAACAAACTCTATTTCACAGGGAAATATTACACTTTTTACTTCACCACATTTATTTAACAGAAATAGTTTAAAACTGAAACAATTAGTCCATTAATCGATGGCAACGATGATCAACGATTAGTGGTTTGAAGTCTTTTGTGAAGCAAAAGCTCCAACCACTGTCTGATTCCAGTATCTTAATGTGTTTGATGGCTTGCAGCTTTTCTATGGTTTTTAATTTTTGTACATGTACATTTTTGTTTTGTTTTTTTCAATCAAAAATAGCATTCAATAAACATCTGAATATGTTTATTGGTTGCTATTCTCTAGCCCCTCTAGTTTATTTGGAGATAGTTTTTTTTAAAGGTCAACATTCACATTCATCTTCATTAAGATCAACAAAGAAAAATATGATTCTTTGATTAAACTAATCAGCATTATAGAAAGTAGTTCAAATTAGCCTTCACCTTGAATAGTTGCATTAAAATGCTGCTTACACTTTAAAGAATCAGTTATTTTAATCCAGTAGTACAATATATGACTCTGAAAAGAACCATTCTGAATTATGAGTACTTTTGTTTTGATGCATTGAATACATTTTGCTGATAATATGTATATACTTCTTATGCTTAAGCAAAAGGATATGCGTAATTCTTCCACCACAGCCAGACAGTAGTAATATTTGAGGTTTAATAGGAAAACGGGGACAATGGCTTCATTGGGAAACTGGCCTTGCTAGATTTCATTAACATTTAACCAGCTAAAATTGAGCCAGACAGATCCTTTGCTCATTTTAATGACATTACTCTGGTCCTTGTTTGGACAGAAAATACCCAAGGAGAACACACTTCTGGTCAGAGAAGTTTGCCAGATTCCAATGTGACTGCCAGTAAACAACACGGTGACACAGAGGACAGTGATGCTGAGGTGGTGAGAAGAGCACAGGAGGAAGGCTGTGTGAATGTCGTCTTTCCCGGCACTGTGACTCAGGAGGGCTGCTGCCGCTTCGTCAGCGAGATCCTCAAGTGTATTCTCTATCAGAGACAGCAACTACCCATGACATATGACCAGCTGGTGTATTCCCAAAAGAAACAACAGGCCTCAATGCAGGTGATTTGGAAATATTATAGTACTGCAAATCAAATGTTCATAAACAAAGAAATGTTGTTGATTTGAGCTAAACTAAGTGTTTGATGAATGTTTTGCTTTTCAGGATAAAGACATGGTGAGTCGGAGGCCGGTGAAGTCTGCAGACATGGATTGGCGGAAGTGTCAGCAAACCCTTCAGGAGCTAGAGGAAGTGCTGCAGCAGCTTGAGGTGCTATTTTCCCTTAGCAGGGTGCCCCGTGTGCTGCTCCTACTGGGTGGCTCCCTCATCCTGCCCAAAGAGCTGTATGAGATCAACATGGAGGCGCTGGTGTTGGCTGGTGGAGATCAGTGTCTACGGGTATCCTCATGCTTAAGGCAGCTTTTCCGCACTCTTTTTGTGGCTGACCTTTTGTCTGACACCAGACCTGTTCGGTTAATGTCCACCACAGTCTTAGTGCTGGCTCACAGGGATTGTGGCGTAGGTTGGTTTCGCCCAAAACTACAATTTAAAGTACCAGCTCGTGTTAAGAACAAAGTTATTGCTCTGTCTACTGATCCCAGCACCTTTGAGGAACCAAGAGCAGAAGGGTCAGAGTGGCAGGATTATGTGTGGTTTCAGGCACCCATGACTATCAAGGGCTTCAGCAACTAACCCATAAAGTTGGGGAGCGCTCAGTAGAGATTGGAGGTCTCTTTCTGTACTACAGTGAAATTTTAATGGCAGTACAAGTGAATCTTGAACTGTATATATTTTAATGAATTATGAGTTTCATTTTTACTACTTGTGATTAAAAGTATGTAGATTCAAACAATAGTGGCTTTATTGACACAAGCAGTATGGCGTATTATCCTTTTTTTTAATCATCTAAAATTTTGGGAAACTTCTGAAGATGCTTTTTTGGCACGTATTGAAATCTGTTTTGAGTTTCTTATTTATATTTATAAAGAATGTTTTACATTAAATATCACTCATTTCTAAGCACATTAAACACAACAACATACAATATCGGTGTAATATATTTTTAATGAACATAAATTGAGAGGTTTGATGCATTATATTACTTTCTTTAATCCACCCTGTGGACACATTGGACAGGATCATCTTTGAATATGTTTAGAAAACCTTAGACTTAAATGATTTCAGCAATGTAGGCACATCAAGCAATAAGAAGAATTGTGGCGTGAGAGAGATCATAGAAACAAGAATTTGTATACATGTCCCATTTGGAGTGATCACTAAAAATCAAACAACAGCATTCATAAAAAAAAAAAAATACCATAATTACATTGATGTTCTTCAGAACTCCTCCACTTTTCTGACAAACTGAACAAGGTCACTGGCCAGCAGCTGAGGCTCCTCGAAGGCAGCAAAGTGACCACCTCGAGGCATGAAAGTGTAGGAGTAGATGTTTCTATACCTCATTTGTGCCCACGATTTAGGGCAGTGCATCAGCTCCCCAGGGAAGGCAGCCAGTCCAGTGGGCACAAATATCCCTGTCCTAAATCAAAACAGCAAAATTTTATTATGGTCAGCACGATAGGATAAAAGGGTATGTCAGGTATGCAAAATAGAAGTTGTGAGTTTTGACAGTATGAGCACTTGGGCACATACTTTCCATCCAGTCTTTTTTCAGGATTACTCTTTAAGTTCTCTTTGTAGAAGCGCATGGAGGAGACTATGGAGCCTGTGGTCCAGTAGATCATGACATTTGTTAAGAGGTCATCCAGACTGAACTTCCTGTACAAATGCAGTCATTTATAATTCATTAGAGACAATAACAATCACATAATCCTTGTTTAACCTAACCCCATATAATTTCTATGATGATAATACTAGAAGGATGAGAAGGAACGCCTTCTTGTACCTCTCCAGTCCACCATCGGCCAGATCTCTGTTCCCAAGATCAGTCCAGGTGGAGAATTTCTCCAGAATGTAGGCAGCCAGACCCACAGGAGAGTCATTAACTCCACAACCTGTGAACACCATTTAAACTATATTAACAGCTGAAATAATAATGAGACCACAAAATATTTGTAACACTTGGATTTTTTTTAGGTAGCTTCTCATAAAAAGCTTTGAAAAACTGTGAGTTTGTTTTTAATCCCTCAGCAATGTCAATATGATGATCAGAATCAGTGAGTTTATTTCCTGGGTATGTATGTCTCTACCTGCAGTGTCTGGTTTAGTGGCCTGAATGTGCATGTAGCCTGTTTCCCTCAGGATGCCCCAGACATTCTTCTCAAAGAAAGGGAACAACCGGTGGACATCTTCCCGACTGAAGCCCACCAGGAAGGGCAGATAAGGACCAATCATGAGGGACAACAGCACTCTGAACCCCCTTCTTGACGAAAACATGTTTAAGTGGAGACCTTTCACGCACCTGGGAAGATAGTTTGTGAAACAGATTACTAAAAAATATAATTTTTACCTAAGATTATAGACAATTTTAATCTGTATTAAGTATCAATGTATAGCTATAAATGTTTGTGTATTTCTTGTGGTAAAATATCCTTCATTTATTCATGTCTACTGGAATTTGTACTCTCACTGGTTTTGGTTATTGTTGCACTTTGTACACTGCAAACACTTTCACAACTGATGAATGTCACAATGTTCGCTTTAGAAAACAAGTTGGTGGTGGAAATTCCACTGCAGTGATGACTTGTTTTCAGTAAGGGCTTGTTTTGCTGACTGTCTTACTGAGGCTTCATCTGTGCCATGTTGGTAGTGATGAGGGAACCCCAGTCTCCTCCCTGCAGATAGAACTGGGAGAAACCTAAACGCTCCATCAGTGTCAGGAAAACTCGGGCAGCAGCGAGACTGTCAAATCCTGAGAAAGTACAGGAGGCACATCTGTAGACATCTGTTGCTCAAGCTGACACGCATGTATTTAGAATCACCTACCTTGTTTATGAGGGGCTTCTGAGAAACCGTAGCCAGGAATAGATGGGCATATGACCTCAAACACAACACCATCCTGGTTCTCTGTGAGAAGTGGCAGAATTCTGTAGAACTCGTAGAAGGAGCCAGGCCAGCCGTGAACGAGCATGAGAGGCAGAACCTTCTGATTCTCACGGTGTGGTGGCCGCACATGGATGAAATGCACATCCAAACCTGAATTAAAGCAAACGCGTTGGAAGTTAGAAAAGAAAGAAATAGTGTGGATTGACAATCCAAATTATTAGGAATTACTGCAAGTAAACCATGTTGATTCAGTGTGAGGCAGGGTGTACCTTCTATTTTAGTTTTGAAATGTGGATACTTGTTAAGCACTACCACCTGACTTTTCCAGTCAAACTCATGTCTCCAGTAGGAAACCACTTTCTTCAGATAAGTGGAACTGAAACCATAGTGAAAGCCACTATCTTCTAAAGGATCCGTATATCGGGTTCTGTCAATGCGCTCATGAAGGTCCTGTTCAATAAGAGCACAGCTGATTACTTCACATGAACACCTTACTGTCTTATTATTGGAACTTTTATTACTTTTAGTTTGGTAATTAGTGATCAAAGTGTAATTTATAGATAAAAATTACCTCAATCTCTTTATCTGAGGTTTGCACATGAAAGGGGTAGATTTTATCATCCTCTATCAGCGGTTTCTCTCCTGTTCCCCACCACCCTTCACCAAGTGGAATACTTTTGACATGTCTTCTTTGGTGTACTACGTATGCAAGTATCCCGCCTGCTGCCGCAGCTGTCCCTATTACAAGCTGCTGTTGGGCAGCATCCAAGCCAAAGAAAGTTTCCCTGCAAAGTGTAGAAAAATGAGATCAAATAATTGCAGATAATTACAGCTCTGATCTCACCACAAAGATTTTAATCCTGATAAAATCAGAGTGTTAGTAGTAAAAGTCTACTTACTTCAAAACCTGCAGCCTTAGCATTGTGTCCAAAGGTGAGCGCCAACAGGTCCTTTTTCTTTTTTTTAGACCTGCAACAGGAAAGAGGTCAAAAATGTTTCATTCACCGCACTGCACTTAAAACGTTGTGTACACGCACGCAAAAATTAATCTATCATGCATTTCAACATACCTTTTTGCCTGTTTTATAGTGTGTCTGTAAAATTTTCTACCAACAGGACTACAGGATTCAGCGGTGTGCAAAATCAACACACACTCGGTTGAGTAGTGAAGCGGAAACCTAAATCAGATATGAGTTTGCCTTGCAGAGATTGTTCATTGACTGCGAGATTACAAGTAGTTTACCTTCTCGCGAGATTTGCCACTTCGAGTGCACAACAGCCGTTACGTAGTTGTTTATATAATAGGGAGGCGACTGTTTGTCCACGGCAGAGAGTTGAATCGACAGAGACACAATGTGGAAGCTTGTATTTCCAGTTCTTGCGGCTGTTTTCGCCGTCGGATTAGGTAGTTTCGTGGGGGGGCCTCAAGACATTGATATGAATGAGACAGGGGCACAAGAAGCCCTGAACTTCGCCGTCGTCCATCACAACAATCGCACTAACGACCTGTACCTGAGCCAAGTGGCGGAAGTGGTTAAGGTCCAAAGACAGGTTAGTAACGTTTGATCTGGGCTTGTGAGGGTCTACAGACTGTTGTAGGGAAACGGACAGTCACTTGCTAAAGTAAACGTAATCCATCGTATTTTCGGCCGCGGTGTGACAAGCAGTTGGCCCGTTACGCCTGTACCCGTTTAAGATTTAATTTCCACCCCTAAACTGCCTGAAGTCACTTTAACATACATTTAAGTATGTACAGTGTTATATCTATGCACAGTGTGTACGGATCCTAACAGCTAAATCAATGGCTGGCAGTGAAGTAACGTCGGCCCGAATACAAACAACATCTCGTTAAATCCTATCCTGTCTGTCAAGCTTTACTATTTGTGTAGTTTGTGTGTCTCTACACCATGTCGTGGCAGCTGCAGGTCCCTCCCAGGTTTTTTCCAAACAAATAAATGAGCTGGCAACCTACTCTTTACACACGAATGAAGGCCAATAAAAGGAAGCTGAAAAGAAACACTAATTTAGTTATTTTTGGTATTTGTTGTGCCGTTCGTCGAACTGCAGAAGAGGGTTAACATGGAGCTACGTCAGATCATTTATGTTGGTGTGAACTTCATTTGACTGACACAAGCTGATAATGGCAAATGTTGGTATTTATAAGGTATGTGTTCATTTAAAGTGAAACTTAATGGCAGAGATGTCCTGAAGTCTGCTGTAGGACTGCTACAGTGCTTATTATTACGATTTACCATGATCAGTATTTCCAGTAATTCTCATCCACTTCTCCCTACAGGTGGTTGCTGGCATCAAGTACATCATAACTGTGAAAATGGGGAAGACCCCCTGCAGAAAGGACAGTGCAAATGAACTGTGTGCCATCCACCAAGACCAGGCATTGGCTCGGGTAATGACAACTGCAGCTTCTGGGGGGAAAAAAGTGCCATTTATTTTTTTTACGTTAGGAGTTATTATACACAATGTTTAAACATCATACAGTAGACTTGCTCTGAAACACTTCAACAGTAGATCACAATGTGTTTCAACAGATTGCGAAATAGCTGCATACTTCCCCTCTGACCAATCAAGCTTTGTTTGTTGTTGTTACCATACAGAGAGGCAGTGGAATGAAACTATAGGGAGTGAATCAGATGGACTTAGCTCACAACTTGCATCAAAAACATCACACCAAAATATGACAATACATCAATCTTCTTACATGATTGCATTGGGTGTATAATTAGTCATATGTATTTCTTTGATGACAATTATGATGTTAAACTACAGTTATTTTTAACTAGATTATTAAGTTAAAAAAAATAATTAATTCAACACTTTTGATAATGATCTATTGATAATGATCATGAATTGTTAGTGGAAAATATTTATTTGTTTAAATAAATTAAATAATTTAATGAAATCTTATGTGTTTCCAAAATTTTTCCCCACAGCCTTACCAGTGCACATTTACCGTGTGGAGTCGCCCATGGATGAAGGAGATCAGGATGGTGGATGAGAAATGCTAGACGGAGAACTATGTGGGAAATCTTGAGTTTTGGCATTGATTTGCAAAATAATTTTAACACAAGCAATATGTGTTTTCTTGTAGACAAACCACAAAAGTATTAACCTTTCCATTTTTACCCATGCTGTTTCACTGTATGCTAAAAAGAATAACCGCTTAAAGTCACTATGTTTCAGACTTCAGAATAACCCATGCATTATTGTAATGCAATAGAAGGAGGTGTGCTTTGTTAATTTCATATACTTTACACATTTGAATTGTTAAATGGTGGTTAAAATGATCTTAAAATTAAAGTAGTACATAAACATCCATAAATGTGTCCATGTGTCAACTTGTTTTTCAGACCTTACTGTTGGTACATTCATACAAGTGTAAAGTTCAGATGTTGGTCTTAAATGTTACTGTTTTGTTCTATCTCTGTCATCTGACATTGACCAAAATGGTTTGAATGCAGTGAAGGGTATGATTTGGGAAGGAAAAACTAAATTTTCATAAGTAGACTAATTACAACTGGTTTTTTGTTAAGCAAAAAAAATCTCTTATGTCGTATCGTATTTCAGTCATTATTCATTTTTTCAATACATTTAGTGTAAACTTCCAAGACAGATTTTTACACAAAGTATGAGCTGGCATCTATAACAAAATAATAATAAATAATGAATACATATTTTTTTCGATCGGGAGAGAGAGATAAATTGTATTTCCTTCCCGTTATGATTTCCTTCTCACGTCGTTACGGATTTTATTTTGAAAGTCCATATGTGTGTATATTTCTAAATATAGCTCTTATTTTTAAATTTCAGACAGGAAGTAACCCACTACTTACTTTGAGCAGACAAGAACCGATAGTATGAGATATGCACAAGATGAACGGCGATGACCGACTGTCAATGATTTATAAAGGCTGACCCACTGAAAAAGTTTTATTGGGACACATGAGTTTAAAGGACAGGAAGTAATAAAGTGTGTCAGTCAGGAAGCTCCACTGCCCAAACATGAAGGTCCTACACAAAGATGAGCTGCAGATTGCTGAAGGAGTTCTGCTAAAACACTTACCGAAGAGTTTGAAGGTAAACGGCTGCAACCTATTTCAAACAGACTCTTCAACATGGTAGCATTATCCATTGCCTAAACAATTGTACCTTGTAATTTTTCGTGTTTTAAGGTCTACGGATTCCTATATGGTATTAACAGAAACAAACCCAGTACACTGGAAATAGTCGTTGATAAGTGGCCTGATTTTAAGGTAATCATTTGCCGACCACATCCAGAGGTGAGTTCACATCCCATTAGATCATTGTTGCTGTAGCAGACTGAAATTTTAATGTGCCACATAATTGTTGAATTTTGTGCTTACCTCACAGAACAAGCACGCCTTGGAATTTAGGAAAAAGGTGGCATACTACAGCACGGATGAACAGATTTTAAGGAAAATGCTGACAGAGGAGGATGCAGTTGACTGGAGTTCTTCTTTCCTAGTCGGAGGTGAATTTAGAGAACTGCAGAGAACAAGTGCTTTAATATTCAGTCATGATGGGACTTCACGACAACACAGGCTCATTGTTGGAGTGTGTAACTCAATACATGTAGCTATATATATATTTACCCAAGAGATGTCCTGTGCTAGAACTTATCGTAGTATTTCTATTTCATGCCATACAGTTCAGCGGTAAAGATTGTACCTTTTACTTCACTACCGGTAAATGACATCTGTAGTTACTACTTTCTTATAACATTTTGCACTGTAATCATCTAGTATGGTAAGCTTATAAAATACGATGCATTATTTTAACTGTAAAGTGATAGTTATAAATAATGCATCAGTAATAATAATCTATATAACATAATATTTAATAGTTTAATATTCACAGGGACCATTTTTCTGCATTGAGTACTTTTACTTTTGCTACCTTAAGTACATTTAACAACAGTACTGTTTATATTTTTCCATTTTCATGCAGGTGTTAAACAGTAATGGAGTATTTTTGCAGCATGGTTTTGCTATATTTTTACTGAGTTAGAGATGTGAATACTTCCTTCACTACTAGTGCAACCCCTTGCAGAGACTATATAGAATAGCATTAACATGTGAATCATTTTTGTCCCACAGGATTGGACGTTTCCCATGCCCCCATGCTCAAAGAAGTGTCATCTGAAAGAGAGGTTAATAACAGATGCTTTACTTTGGTGAATCTTCTGTATTTGCCAGACAGCAGCCATCTTCTCATGCCAAAAGTGGACAGGTATGTTCAGATAATTAAAATGCACTTGAAAGGATACACTTGAATCTGCATCAGAGAAAAGTAAAATATTTTTTCTCATCTCAGATGCAATAATGTGTGAATAATATTTTTCTCTATAGTGAGCTTGAATCAAGGATTTCATCTCTGAACCTTTCCCATGTTGACGTGGTGAATAAAACCTGGAAGTTTGGAGGGGATGAGCAAGGTTACAATACCATTAAAAACCTCATCAGCAACTTCCCGTCATGCTGCATCAGTGACGACCAGGGTCAGCCCGTGTCCTGGATTCTGGTGTATGATTACTGTGCCATGGGGATGTTGTACACTCTGCCAGAGCACAGAGGAAAAGGCTATGCCAAAGTCCTGGTAGGCACCATGGCCAAAAGACTCCATGCTGAGGGCTACCCAGTCTACTGCTTCATAGAGGAGGATAATGTGGTCTCCTACAGACTCTTTAAAAACCTGGGCTTCACTGAGGACCCCTCATACAGGGCGGCATGGTTTGAATTCAACTTTTGATTTTGTAACTGCCGTGAAATTTAAGATGTTTTGAATGTATAGCTGACATATAAATGTGGCCTGTGCCTTAATGGATAAAAATATGGATGACGTGTAATGTAACCAAAATTAAAGGTAATTAATAACACTAGTCTGTCGTTGCTGTGGCACAAATTTTCTTTGCTTGCACATTTTAAACATTTTAAAGTAATTGTAATCGTATTGGTCATATATTGATAGTGCATTGTCACATTTTAATATGTGCTATTACAGAGTCCAAATTTTACAGGCTCTCCAAATCATTGCAACCAAATGTTGATTGTCATTGATTGTCATAATGGAGGTAGTAAAACAGGCATTAACTGTCAATAATATAATTATACATAATACAATAATAATTTCAACTTTTTATAATAAATACAGGCCTTTAGAGAGGCGAATTGAACAATGTTGATTATGTTGTTAGCACTTAGTAACTATCAAATTTCATACACTATAGCCACTACATATAGAGGCTATTTCATTCGTTTTGTTTTATTGCTGTTTTAAAAAGAATGTGTTTAGGATTAATTATCAGATAGATAGATAGATAGATAGATAGATAGATAGATAGATAGATAGATAGATAGATAGATAGTATGGTCGTATTATTCTTATCTTACATGGAGTCTATTGGAGAAAAGACATCAGTAATTACATTGAATGAAGATAATCGCCTTTTTAATTATGACAAATAATGTCGAAAAATGTTGACAAATCTGGAAAGGGCCTACAATATTTTGACGTGGTGGTGAACTAAAATAAGCATTAGAACATATGGAGGAGACTTTCTTCCCCTCTTCAAGTTTGCCCTCAACTCACGTGACGAAAGTGCGAATCGAAAGCCAACGACAGTCGGCTGCACAGTTCTTTTTCTTATAGGAGCAGACTTCCATGATCGATCCTCCAATCCATGAACTGGTCTTCTTAAGTGCTTCTTCTTGTTATTTCATACTGAAGAAATATCACCAAACATTACAAACCATGGAGCTGACTGGGGAGCAGCTGAAAACGGCAGAGACCCTGCTGAAAAGATATTTACCGCGGTCACAGCCGGTGTGTAAACTCGTACAATATTGTAAACAGACTATTTCAAATCGATGATCGCTACAACTTTTGACTTTTATTTCGTCGGTGTCACTTTTGAAAGTACACAGCCTCACTAATAACTGATCAAACTATTTGTTGTATTACAATGAAGTTATTTGTTTCATTTTTAAGGTGTACGGTACTTTGGTCCTCAGAAACAGAGTCAGATCAGACCCTGTAAAGGTTTTAGTGGACAGATGGCCAGAGTTCAGTGTCATCCTCTGCAAACCACAATATGAACAGGTAACTGTATATGTGTATTAAAAATAATATATATACTGTATATCCTTCCTCTGTATATCTGCATACAGTATCTTATCATCTCATTTTTCTTACAGGAGGGTGATCTCTTCAAAGACGTACTGGTTTTTGCAAACGATGAAGCTATGCTCAAGGAAACCATAAGGAAGTCGTCTGTTATTGATTGGACCTTGTACCTTTGTGTTGGTAATGTTCTCACCGTTTCTCCAATAGTAACGGAAGTCAGTTCATTTAATTCTCATTTTGTTCCTTTCTTTGTACATTGCTCTTAGATAACGGCCTTATATGCTAATTGAAATACTACCATGTCATTAACACACTCATCTTTGCACTCCAATTATTCAGCTGTATTTTTTTTAATGAAGGAATTTTCCATTAAATGATAATTCCTTCAAAATGTAACGACAAGATATAAAGGAAAGGAAGTTACAAAACCCGGACATCTGATAGTAGATCTTGATTTTTGTACTGCAGCCATTAATATATAAATATAGCTGTTTTGAACTTAAACCTATTATTTCATTGTGTTCAAAGTCCTCCCATTGTCGGTGGCATATCATTTAGTGATCCAAGACAGATATGACATAATTTTATTTCATATTCCTACACTACAAAAAGTTATGAGGGCAAAGATCAGTAAAAGCAAAGCACTGGGGAATAAAACAGGTAAATAAGAAAGGAAGAAATTATGAGAAAAGAGGTCATGATTGAGGATTCATATCATAAGGGAACAGAAAACTTGTATTCCAAGATGGCTATGTAAAACATTATTTATTAACTTTTTGTTATATCATAGCAACAATATTACTTGATCTTTTTGTTACAAATATATCACCCTTTGCACATTTAAGGTTTCAAAGGAAGGTGGAAGTCATTTCTGACACTGGAATTTGTAATCCTGTTTAAATACAGCATACAGTTTCTCAGTAGGCTACTCAAAAGTAATACGAATAGTACATTAAGTTTCACACATTTGTTAATAGCTTTTCCATAAAAATAAAAAAAAAGAAACTTTTTTCCTTCTGTCCAAGGAATTGATCTTCGCCATGCGGAGATATTCACAGCTGTGGCATCAGAAAAAAACGCACCCAGCAACAAAAGGGCAGTGTGTCACATGATGATACTAGAGGATGTATCCAAGCTTCCCTCTCTAGACAGGTAAAGCCTGTCCATACAGCTATATCTTAATTCTAGTGCGAGTCAAAACCGTTATTTCAAGGTTTAATAGGTCCTTAATAAAACAGGATTCTGCTCTTTCTCCTCTCTGTTCAGCATCAGCCCAGGGATCTGCCTAAGCTCTCTGGATGAATCTCACATTGACTTAGTGAATCAGACATGGAAGTTTGGAAAGAATGAGGCAGCTATGAGGATGATGCACAACATGACTGCAAACTTCCCCTCCTGCTGTGTGCTGGATGCAGAGAGAAAGCCTGTGTCCTGGATCCTGACCTATTCGTCGTGTGCTATGGGGATGTTGTACACTCTGCCAGAGCACAGAGGGAAAGGCTACGCCAAAGTCCTGGTCGGCACCATGGCCAGAAGACTCCTTGCTGAGGGCTACCCAGTCTACTGCTTCATAGAGGAGGAGAACATGGTCTCCTACAGGCTCTTTAAAAACTTGGGCTTTACTGAAGATCCCTCGTACAGGGAAACCTGGTTTGCATTCAATGATATTTAGATATTTCAATGAAGGCTAATATTGAAGTGCAGGTTTCTAATTAACTGATTAGGCCCATATATTAACAAGAAAGGTCCAGAATGTGAGCTAATTAATTTGCATTTGTAGCACAGAAAAGGGCTGTGATGAAATGAAAATGCTAGTGAAAAATGAGGGTAAAAAAGCTCCTACTGCATTGGAGCATGTTATACTTTCACTTCAGGTTCAGTCGCCTTGAACTGAAAAAACCTGCTCAGTGGACATGCCTTTGCAGATGTCTTTTCAAACATCTCATCTCTTCTCTGAAAAACCACTTGACACATGACTGGGTCTGAAATGAAAAGAAGAAATCTTAATGTAAATGATGTACCTATTTATTACCCTATGTTTAACAAGGGGGAAATAGTGGGCAATTTTAGTCAAAAGATTATTTATTATCCAGACTGCTCTGGTGCTGGGAGCAAATTAAATTAAAACTTGTGGTAGACCAATGTTCATTTCTGTATATTTTTCAATCAAGAATCTGGTTTATAAAAGGTCAAATATAATGAGAAATTGCAGTAACAAGTAACTATAGTGACTCCAAACTACTACCTCGTTGAAATTCCTCTTGATTCATCAAATTATTTGTCAACTAAACATTTTAGTTTCACTAGTTCATGAAGGAACAAAGTGGAAATGGAATTGGAATTATTTTGAAAGGAATAAGAAAAAACTGTTCTAAATGCATCACCTCTGTTCTGTGAACTCTTCAAGGCGTAGCAACCAAGTTTTCCAGTACTCTAGCATCAGCTCTGAGCTCAGCTGATGAGCGTGGGCAGGTGAACCGTCTTTGTAGGCCACGACAATGAGCCCATTTTCAACCTGCAGTGAGAAGAGATCAGTTGCTTATGAAGTTTTGCCTATGTGTGACACACAGTGGCTGAAAGAGTTATCACTAAGACTGATGATTACTTTTAAAATTCTATAATCTATCCTTTAAGTTAGGAATCTGACTTCATGCTGAGAGACAGTTCTACAATCTGGGTGAAAATCAGTGAAGTAGAAGGTCACCACAACATTTATCTCAATAGAACACCTGGTATTTGTAGTTGTCGTCACTATTCAAAGCTCCAGCGTAGGCTGCCACTTGAATAGGGTTGTCATATGTGTTTCTCAGGAATGGTTTGGGCTTTTCTGAAGTCTTCCAGTCAATAACACACAGTACGCCTCTGTGGACAAAAACAGGCAGAGTGTAGTGAATGTTGTATGAAAAGTCAAGTCTCGTACGGAAAATGCACAGTCTACCTGTGTCTGCAGATTCACCATATTTACCTGTAGTGAGCAACACAGTCTACAATTCCCAGATAGTTCAGGGTGTCATGTTGTACTGTACTTTCAGTAGCTCTCACTGCAGTGACATCCTCCAGTATGTGAGATATGCTCTCCATGTATCCCTGTACTTCAGGTGGATACTCTGGTGTCTCTGGAGGATGTGTTTCCTCCCATGTTTCACCTGACATCAGAACATCCTCCAAAACTGAATGGAAGATCTTCCCTTGTCTAAATAAATCTGTTTGAAAAACAATATTGGGTCACTTGAGAACCTCACCTGTAAGCACGAATATCAAGAATACACAAGTAACACATGATAGTAGCATGTTCCAATCATGTTCCAAAACTTACTCTGTGTGTATTCTTGGAAGCCATCCTCTCCAAGCTCTGCGACCATCCTCTTCTTCCATCTCTCCAGGTAGAAGATCTGCTCTGGGGAAAGCGTCTGCTGAAGTATGCGGCTCACACTCGGTACGATAGTCCTTCCTGGGCCCCTGTCAAACAAAATCCGGACTGGAAGTCCTGACTCAGGCTCCTCCGTTTCGAGAGTCTTTTCACAGTTTAAGAAGGGATGAAAGGTTCTAGGTTCTCTCATCTCTGCTCTTGAGGAGAGTGTTTGTCCTTTGACGATAGGTCCATAAATGTGCTCGTCCTCCGCTTGGAGGGTCTCTGGGGTTTGGGAACTGACCCTGGAGGAGATGACAGACTTCAAAAGAGAAGAGTAGCGCTCACTGTTCGATAGGCTGTATGGGCTGTTTCGTTTGGGGTATCTTAGGCAATGACAGGCAAGTGACAAATTCCTCACAAGGAGGGAGGTGCACTGAGGGACCATGCTGCCTCCAACAGACACCACGAGTTTAAGAATTAACATTCTGGCGACTTTCACTCAACACACTTGAAATATGAAAAATAATAACTTATCAACTAGCTAACTACGTATAACAACAGTAGTTTCGATGTTCTTACAGTACATTACTGCAACGGTCCATGCCCCAACATGTCCAAGAGTAACTCGTCCAAATGCACACAACTGTTTCTAAACGACGCGCCTTTTTGGTTGCACAAACTTCCGTACCTGGAAATTGAAGTTCCGGGTGGATTCATGACTGTATTTGAAACAGTAGAAACTACATTACCCATAAGGTGCAGTGTATCATTGAAATACATCCGTATGGTCATTGCCTAGGCGGCGGGGTTGAGTTTAGTTACTTTCATTTACTTTTTTTTGCTCCTAACACCTCATCTGTTTGTTAACGGAAACAAACGGTCACATTACCATTTAAAAACAAGTTATCATAAACATCATAATATATCAATCCAAAGGGTACAGAAATGTGATATGACTGATTAGGATAAAACCCAATCGTAGCTTTAGCAAATTTGACATTGTCCAGTCAAATTCACTGTAGGCGGGATTTAATCTTTCATCACCAGGATGGGGGCGAAAAAAGCGATTTGACAGCTCGTCAGGCAGCTAACCATTCCGCGGAGGAAGAGCTTCCTGCATATAGTTTTGTTATTTGGGTTGTTGGCCTATTCTTGCCATTCCGTCGATTTCAGCCCAATCATGACATCCACCTTAGACGAAAACAGCAAGGAAAAGGTAAAGTAAATGGGTCTTGACATGTAAACTGCACCAAAAGTCAGCCCTAGTAGCATAAAGGTTGCTAACAATAACGGTTGCTTTCTGGCAAGTTATTACCGCTAACTTTTCTGCCTACATAACGCTAGCCTCTGGCTAAAGCTAGCTAACGTTTTATCGGTACAGCTATCAATAGGTGTGTTACCGTAAACGTTAATGTTAACTGAGTACTGTCAGTCTGCATGTATGCAAACAAGTGTTGTTTGCTAACGTTACCTAACTTACTGGACGTGTTTAAACGTGTCACAGTTAACGCCAATTGTTCACTGCAACATATAACGTTAAAGTTACAGAAAACTAACATAGTCTGTATAACATTGAGGTGTCTCTTAAACTACGTTGTTACTCCATTAAACTACTGTATTGTAGAGCTTTGCAGCACTCTGGCCTGTGACAGCTTAGTGGACTGAGCTAAAATTATTAGCATTCTAACCAATGTTAAGACAAGTTAACTATAACATGACCTTAATTTGATTTAGCAGATTTGAGGACTTCAACTTTGTGGTCATTTTGGAGTATATTGCCAAAGGTGCTTTTGAGCTTAATAGTTATACTGGGACGAGTTTCTTATACTTTGTCCATCCCTTGTCTGTCAATGAGATATCAACACCTCTCTAACACAGTTACAATAAAATCTGCACAATATAACCTTCATGATGGTTGTACCCATTAAAATAGCAACTGAATGTAAGGTTTACCCTTTACCCAGCAAGAGAGTAAATAGTTAAGATTATATTTATTTCTTATGTCATAATATAACAGATCAACTAGGGTGTGTAGACTAGCTCTAACTGCCAAAGGACTAGAGGCTCTTCTTACTGTTAGATCCAATACTTAACTCCATCCAGACATTTTACCCAGCACCACACAGGCACCTGAAGCTCTAAACTCATGGAAGAATTATTTTCAGTGCTGCAGTTTTGTGCATTTCAGAATTCTGAGGGCCACTGTGCATGTTAGGATTTTTTTTAAAGTTTTGATGAGATCCTAGGATTGAGACTGAGTTCTGTGGGTTGAGACTGTTCATGGTCTGATATGTTTTCCTTTTGTACTTTCTAACTTCAAACCTTAGTTTGTTGAATCAGGTAGAGGGTGGTGGCTTTGGGCTGTCAGTATTGTAGATGCTAACACAACTTTCCTATGAACTGTCTTGTCACGCTAGGAAAGACTCCAGTCACTGAGGATTTGTATTGCTGCCTTACTGGCTAAGATTTTGCCGATACTGTTACATCTGTGAAATATGAATACTGACCTATAATTATAGAACCAATATTCAAAATGCAGTAGTTGCAAGCTAAGAATAGTGTTTTGGCTACATGCAGTCCCACTTTTACATGGGACTCCACAGAAACACCAAGGCAAACAAGAGCCAAGTCTGTAGATAAACTGTCAAATCTAACCAAACCAAAGTGAATCAAATGGCATTCATGATATAGTCCAGAATGATGACTAGATGAGAGGCCTGTTGGATATTTCTGAAGAACAATTGTATATGAGATGGGATATTTTTTATCTTTACACATAAGAATTTTTTGGATAACCCTGGTTTATTCTTTCTCTTTAGATGCGCTCTGTGTCTGTGGATCTAAACAACGATGCCTCTCTTCTCATTGACATTCCTGATGCACTCTGTGAAAGGGACAAAGTCAAGTTCACTGTCCATACAAAAGTAAAGAGTTGTTTGTACCCTTCCACCAAACTTACTAGTAATCTTAAAAATATTTCTGAGGGTATTTGCTGATATGTTGAAAGTTTTCCTTACAAATTTCTATTCATGTAACTCTGTTCCCAGACCACTCTTAGCTCTTTCCAGAAGCCAGAGTTCTCTGTTCCCAGGCAGCATGAAGACTTCATCTGGCTACATGACACTCTGGTTGAGACAGAGGACTATGCTGGCCTGATAGTGAGTTGGACTACTTGCAGACATGACTTGCAGACATAAACAGGGGCCATAATACCACTATTTGTCTTTGGTGTCTGTGCACTCACTGAAGAAAGGAGAAGTTAAAAGACAGCCACAAAGTTTTTTTGCTCTGTGTACATTCCAAAAGAATCAAGCAGTTATCCTTTTGAAACTTATTTTTCCAAATTTATAATTGTACATTACACATTAAGGCCTTTTAACCTGTCATGAATCTTTAAAGTAATTTATATCCTGCTTTACCTTTTCATAGATTCCTCCAGCACCCCCAAAGCCTGACTTTGAGAGCCCAAGAGAAAAGATGCACAAACTGGGGGAAGGTGAAGCCACTATGACCAAAGAGGAGTATGCTAAAATGAAGCAGGAGCTGGAGGCGTGAGTGTGATGCTCAAAAACAAAATATAAATAAATTGTATTCTATCCTTTAGATAATGTACTGTTACAAAAGCTGCTTCATCTGTATAATCCATGGTGTTTTCTTTTCTTTTCAGTGAATACCTGGCTGTTTTCAAGAAGACTGTCCAAGTGCACGAAATCTTCCTGCAGAGATTGTCCTCTCACCCCATTTTAAGCAAAGACAGAAACTTCCAGATTTTCTTAGAGTATGACCAGGATGTGAGTTCCTCATAATGCTGACTTCCTTTCCCCCGAGTTGTCTGTTGGAAAGAGAGGAAGTAGAGTTTACTGGACACTTGTGACACATGGCTTACATCCTGCTGTGATCAGCAGTTATGCTTATCAATGTACTCTTTGTCAGTCAGTAGCAGTGGTGTTTGTTTGCAGAACTCAGCTAAGAGTTAACACTTTATATATTTAGGTAGCAGTGTGATAAAAGAGCACAGGCCACATGTATTTGTGGAGCATGCTGTGACACATAATGATAAAAAAAAAAAAAAAAAACAAATAACACAAGCAAAAATTTAAC